GCACTGGTGCAGCCACTGTGGAAAACAGTGTGGAGTTTCCTCAAAAAAATGAAAATGGCCCTGGCCGGTTTGGCTCAGCGGTTAGAGCGTCGGCCTGCGGTCCTGAGAGACCCGGGTTCGGTTCCCGCTAAGGGCATGTACCTCGGTTGCAGTTTGTCCCCGGCCCTGGTCGGTCGTGCGGGTGGCAGCCACTCAATGTGTTCCTTTCACATTGATGTTTCTCTCTCTCTCTCTCTGTTCCTCTCTCTCCCTCCCACTCTACCTGAACAAAAAATGGAAAAATGTCCTCGGGTGAGGATAAAAAAAAAAAGAAAAAAAAAAAAGAAAATGGAACAGCCTTTGACCCAGTGATCCACTTCTGGGAATATAGCCTAGGGATTTTGAAACACCAGTTCGAAAGAATATACTCACTCCTGTGTTCATTACAATAGCCAAGATCTGGAAACAGCCCAAGCGCCCAACAGTGGATGAGGGGATAAAAAAGCCGTGGTACATGAACACAATGGGATACTACTCTGTGGTAAAAAAGTAGGAAATCTCACCTTTTGTGACAGCATGGATGGATCTGGAGCATATTATGCTAAGTGAAATAAGCCAGTCAGAGTAAGACAAATACTAAATGATTTCACTTATATGTGGAAACTAATGAACAAAATAAACTGACAAACGAAACAGAACTAGAGGCATGGATACATGGAACTGACAGCTCGGGGGCGGGGGGTGCTGGATGAAAGAAGGTGAAGGGATTAGCCAAAGAACATGTGGGCATAGCCCATGGACACAGACAGCAGTGCGGTGATGGCTAGAGGGAAGGGGGATGGGGGCTAGGTGGAGGAGTGCAAAGGGGGAAAAGGGAGACATCTGCAATAGGGTCAATAATAAAAATAAAGGAAAACGTTTTCATGAAAAATAAAATAAAATATCATTATAATATTTTTTTAAAAAATAGAGCTTCCAAAACAGTTTTAGAGAGGAGACTGTTCCTGGTGCAGACAGGGCAGACGGGCAGAGCAGCGTGCACTAGGGAGCAGCACCCCCAGGCTGTGAGCAGGGGCTGCCTGGACGCTGTAGGAAGGCTTCTGAGACAGTGCTGGGCACGGAGCAGGGGGAGAGGTGAAGTATCAATACCGCAAATTAGTTCCTCCCTCTGGCAACCATAAGGGAAAAGCAATGTGTATAGGATATATTCGAGGAGAAGTGAGTACAACCCTGACCGGGTAGCTCAGTTGGTTCGAGGGTCATCGCATCCTGATACACCAAGGCTTCGGGTCGGATCCCCAGTCAGGGCACATACAAAAGTTGACCCAAGAATGCGTGAAGTCAGTGTGCTCAGGGTCTGTGCTGAGCGCTGTGTGTCCACCATGTCACTGACTCACAGATAAGAAACAGGAGCCTCAGGACGATTGGGTGACCGGCTCCTTGTCACGCAGGTAGTAGCCGAGCTGGGATGCAAACCCAGGGTAGGTCATACTTGACTGCCTCTCTAACTGCATCGCAGGACAATCATGGGTCCTGACACTGCAGTGGAAAGCTGTAGGACTGGCCGAACCGATTTTCTCTTGCATCTAGCACTTTCTGGCTGAGAAGGTCTGTGGGGAGAGATGTAGGCCCTGACCTCTGAGAGCATCCGGGGCATTTGAAGCCCATATGATGTCACCAGTCAAACCCTTCAGAAGTCTGCTACTGGGCAAATACAGGGTGTGTCAAAACAGGTTTACGGTTGTTCATATTGAAAATAATACAATAATAAGTAATAATACAAAAATAAACTCGCCCTGGCCAGTTTGGCTCAGCGGTTAGAGTGTCGGCCTGCGGTCCGGAGAGACCCGGGTTCGGTTCCCGCTAAGGGCATGTACTCCGGTTGCAGTTTGTCCCCGGCCTTGGTTGGTTGTGCGGGTGGCAGCCACTCGATGTGTCCCTTCACATCGATGTTTCTCTCTCTCTCTCCTTCCTCTCTCTCCCTCCCACTCTATCTGTACAAAAAATGAAAAAATATCCTCGGGTGAGGATTAAAAAAAATAAAAAATAAACTCACTGTTTCGCGCACTCACAACTGTGAGCCTTTCTGCCCACCCTGTATTCTGTCCCGGCTGAGCAGAGAGTGACCTCAGGAGCCTCAGAGACTGAGGGACTCCCTCGCCCTGACATAGTTGTTGCTCTGTGAGGCTTCAGACCTCTTTCCCTCGGTTCTACCGTGATTAGTCTCCATGCCGAAAGGGGTTTCACATCTCACAGATGTTCTGAAAACAGCAGGCCTATTGAAATCAGAACGGCCCTCGGAAAACCAGGGACGCAGAGGTCTCAGACATATTTCAGAGGGAAGACGGCTCAAAGGACCTCCCAGGAGATGGGAAGGTGCTGGCCTTCCAAAGTCTCATTCGGGCATCTGGAGATTGTCCTGAGAGTCCGCCTTTGAGAAGCCATCTCCACATTTACCGTTTCAGCCGTGATAAAGGTGAAGCCTGCTCCCGACCAAACAGTACACCCTAGAGCATTCAGCCCCGCCGGCCGCTGACCCTCCAGGATCACCACAGCCCCACCCTGACATTCTCCTGCTTTCCAGTCGGATAGTTCTAGGCCTTTGTTCTCTCGTGTGATTCTCTGAGTGGATCACGCACCTAGAACGTTACCCAGAAACCTCTTCTCTGTTCTTGTGTACCCTTTCCCTTGACTTTTCTATTCGTTTTTAATTTTTAAGTGTTTTTTCTTTATTGATTTTTATTTTTTATTTATTTTTATTTTTATTTTTTATCCTCACCCGAGGATACTTTTCCATTTTTTGTACAGATAGAGTGGGAGGGAGAGAGAGGAAGGAGAGAGAGAGAGAAACATCGACGTGAAGGGACACATCGAGCGGCTGCCACCCGCACGACCAACCAGGGCCGGGGACAAACTGAAACCGAAGTACATTCCCTTAGCGGGAACCAAACCCGGGTCTCTCCGGACCGCGGGCCGACGCTCTAACCGCTGAGCCAAACTGGCCAGGGCTCTTTATTGATTTTTAGAGAGAGAGGAAGGGAGAGGGAGAGAGATAGAAACATTGATGAGAGAGAACATCAATTGGCCGCCTCCTGCATGCCCCCAACTGGGGATCTGACCCACAACCTGGGCATGTGCCCTGATGGGGAATCGAACTGGCGACCTCTTGGTGCATGGGTTGAAGCTCAACCTGAGCCACACCTGCCAGGTGACTTTTCTATTCTTGATTCTGAGACATTCCCCCCCACTTAGCTCCACCCCACGTTTCATGAAGTGAATGGAGGAAGTGGGAGGAAATGACATTTGTTTGCCCCTCCAGTGGCAGCACGGTGAGGGGTCTTCGTGGATGTGGACTTATGTGTCCTTCACAAGGTCCCTGATAGGAAAGGAAAGTTAGAGAGTTTAAGGACTTTGTGAAAGTCAGCAGCTATTAAATGCTGTGGTCGTGTTAGGATTCAAACCCAGGAACTTCTGGTTCCAAAGCCATTTCTGGGTCCTTTTCCAGGACACCCAGGCCTCCCAAACGCTGACCAGGCCATTCTGTACATTGCTAGTCCCTTCCCTGGGCGCCTGTGTCCCAGCTGAGGTCGCCTGAGGATTGACGTTGTTCCCAAAAGTTCCGATATATTTTGTGCCCACTCTTTTCTTCTCAGGTCAAACTAAAATGAGATTAGAGTAGAAGCAGTCTTTTTAAAATAAAAATAAAAAGAAGCAGTTTCGCCCGGCTGGTGTGGCTCAGTTGACTGAGCACCAACCCATGGACTGAGTGTGCCAGTTTAATTCCTGGTCAGGGCACATGCCCAGGTTGTGGGCTTGATCCCCAGTGAGGGGCATGCAGGAGGCAGCTGAGCGATGCTTCTCTCTCACATCAATGTTTCTATCTCCTCCCTCTCTCTCTCTAAAAAATCAATGAAAACGTATTTTTAAAAAAAGAAGAAGAAGCAGTCTTTCCATGACCACTTTGGGGAAGATTTTCTTGTTTCTCAAAATTCAACAGTGTCAATAAGTTTGTGGTGCTCAAAGGTGTGGGGTGGACACATACTTCTAAGGGCCAGAGTTTCAATGTTGCATTTGTTTTTCAGAAAAAAGAGCTCAGCATAAAATGCAGCTAATAGTGAGGTTTTGTTTGGGTTTTTTTGCATAATAACAGTCGTAACTGAGCAACATTAGCTACAGACACTCCTTCCCGTAAATCCATGGAGACTCTGAAAAACACTTCAGAGAAATCCAAACCCCAAGTGGTCTTTGGCAAAGGGTAGTTGCCATGATGGTAGTTAAAGGAGGAGAATACTGAGTAGCTGCCTACAAAGGAGCACCTACAACGAAAACTAGCTGCGGCTCAGGTCCCTGGACTAAAAAATCTACATAAAAGTTTTTGCATGTGATCCCTCCTTTTTACAAGGCAAATTTGACCATGAAAACAACATGTTTAAATCACACACTTTTGACTTAATAATCCCACTCTGGAGAATTTACCTCAAGACTTTCTTGAGTCATACAAATAGGAAGACGACATATTTCTATCGCAGCATTATTTATAATTAGCAGTAAACTGGAAGCAATCTAATTTTTCAATAATCTAGAAAGACTTGGTGCGTTTTGGTATCTTAAGTCTTTGAGATACTATGCAGCTATTAAGAATATGATCACAGTGTCCAAACAAAAAAAAGGGTGTTGCATGAAAAGCATAGAACACAGAAATGCAACTATGCAGTGGTTACAGACAGGCAGAAACACATTACGCTGATAAAGACAAGGGGACAGATGGAACAGGTGAGCACGGTGAGGTTATAAATTTTCAACATTAACATTTTCTGTTGTAATGACCATATTTGGCTTTTAGGAATTTTTTTTCTTTTTCTTTTTTTCCAGTTGCAACTTATATAAAATTATTTCTTAATTATTTTTGGACCAGGAGATTATTTGACAGAGGACTATTTTACAAAGGAACATGCTAGCCAAGCGTGAAGTATAGAGAATTACTCATTCACCAATACTAATGCTGTTGTTTTAATTTGCAGTGAAGGGAATTTGGCTACCAAGCAGGTTGTGTTTCTTCAGAGACCGGTTATATGGAATTCAGCAGCTCAAACACCAGAAGTGAGTAATACTGATGCTTTATGAACTGAATGTTGTATCGAACCTCTTAATCCTGGAACTCTCTTTGTAATTCTGAATGGTGAGTACAGCCGGGGAAGTGCAATGGTAACAGTCTTCGAAGCAACGATAAAACAAGGGAAACATGCCAGCGCCCAGGCTACTGAGCCGGTTCTGAAGGGGATCAGGGCAGGCCGCCCCAAAATATGCCCCTTGGGCATCGGGATCATTTTGAGCTGAAGGCAGTTAAGAAACGGCAGACACAGGAGGAACACTCTACCCTCCTGCTTCCTGACAAAAAAGCAGGGCATGCATTTCCCCCTGCAAAGTGACGTAAGTCCCCTTTATGAAGTAGTCTCCCTCTCCTGCGCCAGGAAGAGTAGACAGTCACCAGAGACGACCCGTCACCGGGGCCGCAGTCTGCATAAAGGAACCTCACGCAAATAACCCTGCCTTCCGCCAGTTCCCCATGTACCTACCTTCCCACAATTTTCTGCCCCTAAAAGCCCAAACCCTTTTCCGTTGGTCACTCCTCTACAATTTATTGCCCTTTGTTAAGGTGATATAGAAGCTCAGAGTCTAACTGCCTCTTGGGGTTTTTACTACTTCTCTGTGAAGCTCCCCTGTGCTTCCAAAACAAGCCTTTTCTTCTGCTAACCCGTCAGTTTAATTCGCTGGCCCCAGGGTAGAGGGAACGCTTCTACCTCCCTTCTGGTTCTCAGTCTCGTACACGGAGGAGCCTAATCCTGCCACAGATTTGTGCAATCTGTCTATCTTGACCTCTGTCAGTACTTTTATATTGTCTCCATAACTTCACATTTTTTCTGCCCTGTATATTTTCTTATTCTGTGTATTGTCAACCTAAGAAACATCCAAACCAGTAGTATAGAGAGTTTTTATGAGTTTGTTTGAGCAAGACTGACAGCAATTGTAAAATCTCAACAGATTGAGAAAATGCTCCGGAGAATGGCAGTTTTGCAGTTTATTTCATACGTTACAATCAAAGGAGGAGGCATAAGGAGGGTCACGTGAAATCCATCGGTGTAGATCAGGGAGGTGGAAAAAGCAAAGCAGAGAAGTAAGTCTCTGAGACTGGATAAAGGGTAAAATGGGGAGACTTCTTTTACATTGGTGGGGACAGGGTGGTTAACAATTAACATTTACAACACATACATAGTATTTGGGCAACAAGATAACAATGAGCGTTCTGTGTTTGCATGCTCTGGGGCCAGATTGTGCCCTGAGAGGTCTGGAAAAAGGGGGGATTATTCAGACATTCCAAAGGTATGTTATTTTAAACACAAAAAGACAAGAGACAGGCTCACTTAAGGTAATGATTGACCTTAAAGATTGTCAGGGAAGATTCCGGCCTAGGAAATGGCTACCTGCCAAGACTCACTTTTAGTTAGTAAGTTTTCATTTCAGACCATCCTATGTGGTTACTTTGGGTCTCTGAGTTTGTAAGACCCCCACCCCCACCCCCTGCAGGCCTCCCCTGAGGCTATCAGATTTAGGGTGTGGCCCCTGTTTTGTCCACTATATTAAAAAATATTGTTTTAGAAAACTAAGGTTATCTAAACTAGCAAAGCTAAACTGACAGTATGCAGTATAAACTTTCGCGTACTCACAACTGTAAACCTACTTTTGCCCCACCCTGCATATAATACAGCCATGCTAAAATGTCTCACATTAATTTTTTTATTTTAATCCTCACCTGAGGATATTTTTCTATTTTTCATCAGCTAGAGTGGGAGGGAGGGAGAGAGAGAGAGAAACATTGATGTGAGAGAGACACATCGACTGGTTGCCTCCCCCATGACCTGACCAAGGCCAGGGAGGAGCTACAACCAAGGTCTGTGCCCTTGACCGGAATCGAACCCGCAACTCATTGCCTCAAGGGCCAACAGTCTAACCACTGAGCCAGACCAGCCAGGGCTAAAATAATCTTTCAATGAAAAAACATGAGCGAAAGGGTCTGGCTGGCTCCAGAGCTAGGAAGGTAGAGAGGTAGACCGGCAAACAGGAAGATTCCTCCCCGGAGCAGGAGAGCAGTGATCGAGACCGTAGGTGGCAGACAGGCCGCGTTGCCCAGGGGTGAGCCCCGACACCTCTGCCCCGGCGTCACTCCCAGTGAAAATGGCTCAAGGTCACAAGTTTATTAAGAAGCATTCCGTCAGGAAGAATCAAGGATGGGTATATGTAGAGAATGGCCAGAAAAAGGTTTGATTCTCCTTTCTTCGAATCAAAAGCAACTTCGGACCGTGCTACAGCCTTCTCTTCTTTTGGAGAAGTATTCTACCATGGCCGTCGTTTCGGAGGAAAGAGCAAGAGAACTGACAGTTTCACGAGAGTTTGATTGACTGAAGGTCATGGAGTTGGTGTCGAGAATTTCATAATGAAGAAAGTGTATTGTTGGAATTTTTTTCTTCTGAAGTTATCAAGACCTTTCCTTTTGGAATTTGTTTTGTTCTTTACAGATATGTGCAATATTCTAGGTAACTTGAGAATTTTTTGAACATGGAAAATGCCAATTCAAAATATTTATACTCTCATTTACTGCCTCAGTTTTCTATAAAATATTGAAAGATAGTTTTAGTAAAGCTAGAAAACTTTTAGAAGAAAAAAAAAAAGAGAGAGAAATGTTCATGAAGTGGAACTAGGCAAAAAGTTCTTAGACATGACCCCAAAAGTATAATCTATAAATTAGATTTTATCAAAATTAGCAACTTTTGCTCTATTAATAACACTAAGAAAATGAAAAGACAAGCTACAGACTGGGAGAAAAAAACTTGCAAATCACATTATAACAAAGGACGTATGTCCAGACTGTATCAAGTACTCTCAAAATTCAACAATAAGAAAATGACCCAGTTAAGCCCTGCCCGGTTTGGCTCAGCGGTTAGAGCATCAGCCTGCGGTCCTGAGAGACCCGGGTTCGGTTCCCGCTAAGGGCGCGTACCTCGGTTGCAGTTTGTCCCCGGCCCTGGTCAGTTGTGCAGGTGTAGCCACTCGATGTGTTCCTTTCGCATCGATGTTTCTTTCTCTCTCTCTGTTCCTCTCTCTCCCTCCCACTCTACCTGAGCAAAAAATGGAAAAATGTCCTCCGGTGAGGATTAAAAAAAAAAAGAAAATAACCCAGTTAAAAAATAATTAAAAGACTTGGACACCTGCCCTGGCTGGCTTGGCTCAGCAGATAGAGCGTTGGCCCATGGACCAGAGAGGCCTGGGTTCGGTTCCCGCTAAGGACATGTAGCTTGGTTGCGGCCTGTCCCCGGCCTTGGTTGGGGTTGTGTGGGTGGCAACCACTCAAGGTGTCTCTCTCACATTGATGCTTCTCTCTCTCCTTCCCTCCCTCTCTCCCTCCTGCTCTATCTGAAGATAAATGCAAAAAAAAAAAAAGACTTGGACACCTCATCAATGAGAATATGTAGATGAGAAATAAGTACATAAAAAAGACACATAAATCATTAGCCATTAGGGAAAGGCAAATGAAAACCATGATGAGATACTACTATCGTACACCTGTTAGAATGACTAAAATAAACAATACCGACAGTACCAAGAATATCCTTGGGTGAGGATTAACAACAACAACAAAAATGAATGATTTAACTTCAACAGAAATGTCTCTCTCCTGTAATAGTCTAAAGCTGGGCAGGCAGGCGGCAGGGGTAGAGCACGGCTCTGCGTCGTGGCTACTCAGCTCTGCTGCCTTGGCTTCTGCCCCTGGACCCAAGGCTGCTGTCACAGTTGTCACGTCCAGCCAGCAAGAAGTCGTGAGGAATTCCAGGCATGCCTGCAGGGCTCTGACCCCCAAGTCACAGACATATTTCTTCTCACATCCCATTTATTTATGTTGCCACAAGCATCTGCAAGGGAAGCTGGGAAATGTAATCTGGGCGACCTTGAGCTGGTACCACAGTGAAATACCACATGTCCAGCTAAAGATTGCACGGAGGTGGGGAGGAGTTCTGCTATTAAAAGAAAGATGGAGAGAATAGATGCTGAAAGACAGGAGTTTAATTTTAATGGTTCCCATTTTACATTTATTTTTCTTCTGTAGAGCAGTTTTGCATTCAAATAATTTTCTTGTCTTTAAAATATATCTCAAAATGAATGATTTCAAGAGATAAAGACTTCTTGGACACACTTGTTGAATTATTTCTCTAACGCACACCAAGAAGTTGAAGGAGCAGCAGCCAGAAAACTGTTCTGAATTAGATCTTTCCCACGGTAACGACAATAAAATTATATGAATAGCAAGAAATATTTCATATATCCATCAACTTCTTTCCTCACCTTACAGTAAGACAATTATTTAGCAAATGTTATTCTTACTTTTTTAGTCATTTGAAGTTAATTTGAAATTATTTGAAAGTCATAAGGGTCATATTTCATTCATTAGCTGTTAGTATCCTCGATGGAAGTCCTTGTGAAATTAAATCAGGTCCCCGTGTGAATAAGGATGTCAGGTATCTTAAGGAGCATCATGTACAAATAAAGAGGATCTCTGTTTTAATCACTCTGCCATCTTGCCTCCTCTCCAAGGAACTGCAGTGGCTAAAGCTAGGTACTGAGCCCTAAAAAGTCATTTATTTCTGAACCATTTGTCAAAAGACTTTCTTTTTCCCACTGACTTTCCTGGGCTCCTCTGTTGAACATCAGTTGAGCATGTACGAGTGGTATATATGACTAAGCCTGGCAGTATAGCATGGAAAATCTTTCTTTACTGACCAAAGGAAATATTCAAAATATAGTACCAAAGGGGAAAGTGAGCTGTACATTTCTCTGTGTGTAGCAAACACATAGCTATCTAGAGAAGAAAACAGTAAAGTACATCAAATTTTTACAGTAGTAGCTCTGCAAGATGGGATTGTGGGTGGGTTTTGCTTTTTTCTTTGTTTTTGCCAGGTTTTCTACACTGAACGTGTATTTTGTAATAGAAGGAAATTTTTATTTGGGACCACAAATCTACTCATATCTTTTGCAGATGTGGGTAATATAAGTGTGAAAAGAATAAGGTAAGATACTCAGACTCCAGTCCAAGGCCAGCCTTTCCCTGACCTCGGGCAAATCCCGTCTTCCATCGGGCCTGAGTCCTACCTCTGTAGAACAAGTGGTTCAAAGAGATGATCTCTAAAGGCTGGCCAGGCTTTAGTCTCCTACACTTCAAGTTGATAAGAACACTGCAAGTTGATATGTTAGAAAAGGTATTATTTCCTGTGGAGTGAGGGTGGAGTAGGGGAGGCATTATCATTGCTGAAAATGTATTTATTAAGTCACATGGGCCCTGGCTGGTTTGGCTCAGTGGCTAGAGCATTGGCCTGTGGACCAGAGAGTCCCAGGTTCGGTTTCCGCTAAGGGCACGTACGTCAGTTGCAGTTTGTCCCTGGCCCCGGTTGGGGTCCTGTGGGTGGCAACCACTCAATGTCTCTCTCACATTGGTGTTTCTCTCTCTCCCTCCCGCTCTATCTGAAGATGAATGCAAAAATGTCCTCGGGTGAGGATATAGATAAATAAAAATTTTAAAAAAACAAGTCATATGGTAAACCTGGCTGGGGTGGCTCGGTGTATTGAGCTTCATCCCATGGACTGAGAGGTCCTGGTTTGATTCCCAGTCAGGGCACATGCCCAAGTTGTGGGTCAAATCCCCAGGGGGGGGGGGGGCATGCAGGAAGTAGCCAATTCTTTCTCATGAATGTTTTTCTCTCTCTCTCCCTCTCCCTTCCTCTCTCTCTAAAATCAATAAAGAAAAAATTATTTTAAAAAAGAAAAAGTGTTCTGAAATCTTTTTTCGAGTTACCATGTGAGGTGTTTGTCATCTTCTAACACATGATATTTATATTTGGTGGCTGTCTACTTGACACTTATCTAAAAGTGAATTACTATGAATATCTTGTTATTCTGAATAATGCCCAATTTTTACTAAGAAAATTCTCATTGAGTATGTGGGTGTGGGCCTCTAGTGCCAGGTATACAATAAAGAATTTATTGCAAAATTTACCTTCGGCTCCGGTGCTGGGGAGGGAGGAAAGATCCAGGCAGCCAAGTGCTCCCGGGCTCTCTGCCCTCCCAGTTCATTCATTCAGCGGTGAACGAATTCTGGCCCTGGCCGGTTTGGCTCAGTGGTTAGAGCTTCGGCCTGCGGTCCAGAGAGGCCCGGGTTGGTTCCCACTAAGGGCATGTACCTCGGTTGCAGTTTGTCCCTGGCCCTCGTTGGTCGTGAGGCTGGCAGCCACTCGATGTGTCCCTTTCATGTCGATGTTTCTCTCCCTCTCTCTCTCTCTCTCCCACTCTGTCTGAACAAAAAATGGAGAAATGTCCTCGGGCGAGGATAAAAAAAAAACCAAACAAGAGTGAATGAATTCTTTATGCACATGGGAAAGGGAGCCAGTAGCCAGGCTTGAGAAAGGAACCCAGTATGGCAGGACCCAGCAGCTCTGCCTGCAGCCAGAAGGCTGGATCCTCACTGGCCAGCGTCCCAGTGCCGGAGCTCAGGCCCTTCTCAAATCCGGTACCCAGTGTGAGAGTCAACCCGGCAGGCTCCACTCCTTGTTTGCAATTCAATACATTTGGTGAGTGAGAATAAAAAGGAAAAGGATTTGCGATTGGTTGTTTGCATTTGATGAACGCAAGGGGGCCGATGGAAAATGACACGCCCCCCAGCTCTATCTGACTGGGGACCACGAGGCTGGGCTTTTGTTGAAGCAGGACCACTGTGGACCTGTCCCCTTGAACTGCCCAAGGACGCAGGAGCTCTCCCTCGCATGCAGCATGGGGAGCGCTCCATGTTGGCATGAACAGTGGTGACACTCCACAGGAGCAGAATCCACTTGAGTAAAGCTGTTTGCTTTATGTGTTTGCCTTGAAAACCAGTAGAAGATACTGTTGTGTCTTATACATACAGTTCAACAACCCTTTTGTAAGACTAGCCTGAGCATCTGACTTCTATGAGTTCTAAGAATTTTATAATTTTAGCTCTTACATTTAAGAATATGTAACCCTAGTTCCCACACAACATATAAATGAACTTTCAGCAAATAAACACTTTGTAAATTGGGAAATCATTGTGCTTTTTACATTTATCCCTCTGATCCCTGGTCAGTGTGACTCAGGTGGTTAGAGCGTCATCCCGTGCGCTGAAGGGTGGAGGTTCGATCCCCAGTGAGGGCATATACTCAGGTTGAGGTTCGACCCCCAGTTGGGCTGTGGGTGGGAGGCAACCAATCAGTGCTTCTCTCTCACATCGATGTTTGTCTCTCTTTCTCTTTCTCCCTTTCTCTCTCTCTAAAAAGAAATCAATTTAAAAAATTTTTTATTTTATTTATTTATTTATTTTTATCCTCACCCGAGGACATTTTTCCATTTTTTGTTCAGATAGAGCGGGAGGGAGAGAGAGGAACAGAGAGAGAAACATCGATGTGAAGGGACACATCGAGTGGCTGCCACCCGCACGACCAACCAGGGCCGGGGACAAACTGCAACCGAGGTACGTGCCCTTAGCGGGAACCGAACCCGGGTCTCTCTGTACTGCAGGCCGACGCTCCAACCGCTGAGCCAAACCGGCCAGGGCCACTTTAAAAAATTTTTAAATGTATCCCTTTTGTTTCTCTTTTTTTATTTCCCCCTGTTTAATTTTTTTTTGTGTGCCTAGGAGTTTTGTGCCTAAATTTTTTGGTGCCTATTCTCATCCATGTCATGTTACCGGTATTAAGGAAGCTCGTGATGGGAACCTCACGGGCGGAGCAGCCAGGGGAGCTGGTCCGGCTCTCCAGGAGCCTCCCTGTCCCCGACCGAGACACTGCATCCTGACGGGGCTCCCTGGCACAGACCGTGCCCCCCTCTGTTCTGAACCGCACGGAGAACATGGCCAGCCCCCAGTCAATGTGCTGAGCTGTGCCATTTGGCCGGAGTTATTGGCGACTCCTCTTTGCAGCCCTTTCTTAAGTGGGTGTGAGGCGGCCGCTGGAACACTTTTTCTGTCGTTAGATCCCAATGAACACCAGAAAAAGATGGAACCTTTAATGTGTTTCTACCCCGCTTTGTTCCCCAAAGTGTGATCTCAACAGGTTTCTCTCCTCAGACAAGTCACTGAGGGTCCAGACAGGTACACAACCAACCTGCCAATGACCAGAATGATGTGCCCGGAAGCAACAGAGGCTGTGAAACAGGCGCCCATTGTCCCCTGGGGGGGGTGAAGGTCTCCCCGCTGGTCCTGAGATGCCCAGGACCTCCAAGAGCAGAGCAGAGAGCAGTGGGCGCTAGAGCAGAGGGACAGGAGAGCACCCAGCTTTTAACTCCTGGTTGCCCATCTCTGTTTCAGAGGAAAGCCAGCCGGCACGCGAAAGGTGAAGACAGAGGCAAAGGCACCAGCAGGAGCATTGGATTGGACACGGCCATGTCACAACCTGCAGAGAACAGAAACCTGCCCGAGGAGGGCCCCTCCCCCTGCCGAGAGTGCTGGATGGAGGAGAAGCGGCCGCCCCCCCCCAGCGGCTTCGCGGGGTTCGGCGGCGCGGGCGTCCTGCGGGAGCTAGACGAGGGACAGTTTGACCAGGAAGATGGAGCCACTCAGGTCACCTGCATGTGAGCACAGCAGCGCAGCACAGAAGGCCTGCGCGTGATTATCAATTGCTGCCAACTGACTGGGTTATATTACTTTCTCTGCATTTAAGTAGTACTTTGAATTTGTCCAGGCTCGGGCTTTCTTCTAATCTGCGTAAACTTTGGCTCAACCCCCCAGACAAGGAAGAATAACCCACAGATTTGTAAATTTAGACTCATGTTTACACTTCTCTCAAATAAAATCATCTGTTTACACAGAGGTCTCATTAGGGTATTAACTGATGATAATCTACTTCATTTTCTCATGAATGCACATGGTATACTTTTCTTATCATTCCTGGTAAGAAAACTAAATATCTCCATCAGTGTTTTGCCTAATTAGAAAGTTCTCAGGAAGTTAGTCTTACTTAAACTGAAAAATAATGCCATCCCCCCACGTGTGACACACACACACACACACACACACACACTCACAGCTAATTAATGAAATACCTATTTCCTGAATATAACAATGAATCCAAATTTTGTCTTTAACCGTGGCATGTATATAAAGCAAACCCTTATTTGTTCAAATATTCTTTGAAAAAAATCTTTGTTGCTGTCTTTGCTAAGGGCCACCATGTTACCAGCCCTGTGCTGACCCACTGAGCTTAAAGTTTGTTGTTTCTAGTAGCTGAGAAATAGAGCAAAGCAGTGCCCCCTACCATTCGATACGGAAATAACCCAATCTCAACATTTAAAAACCTTAATAAACAGAAATAATTAATTTTATTTCTTTTATATTGCAAATAGTGTGAAAAGGGAAAATATCAACTGGGAGTGGAAACTGAAGCCTTTTATATCTGTCTAGATTTGAATTATGCTTTTATTTCGATGGCTAAATCACGAAGCAGGTGGAAACCCAGAATTTTCCATCTTGCAGGAGTAAAATGTGCTTGTAGCACATGCGATGGGTCTGGTGGCCTAGCTGTGCCATCTCTGTTGACAGGGATGCCTTTGCCTTGCCCAGACTTTGAGGGGTAAAGATTAAATTTCTACAAAATATAGGATTTGCATTCCTCTGTCAAAGGCTTACTTACTTTGAAATGTGGGAACCTTCAACTGAACAACTGACTTTGCCATTACTGAGTTCAACATATTATATATTTTTATTAGCATTGGTTTTGACATTATAAGATCATTTGAATAATAAAATGTCATTTGTCGCTGGGCTATTGTTTTATTAAACACAAATGTTCATAATATGTTTTGTACATTTATGTATTATGTGTATCAAATATCTAGTGTAACTAAGTCAATCTCCATGAACTGTAAATAAGATTAACATGGTATCATTCCACTTGTACCATGCTGAAGCATTACCTATATAGGTAGAAAGGAACTTAAGAATATTCTATTCAGAATTATTCTGTGGAAATAGCTATCAACAATATTTGCAGAAATGTTTTTTGTTTTTATTTTTATTTTATTTTTTTAATCCTTACCGGAGGACTTTTTTTTCCATTTCTTTGTTCAGATAGAGTGGTAGAGAGAGAGAGAGAGAGAGAGAGAGAGAGAGAGAGAGAGAGAGAGAGAAACATCGATGTGAAAGGGACACATCAAGTGGCTGCCACCCGCATGACCAACCAGGGCCGGGGACAACTGCAACCGAGGTACACGCCCTTAGTGGGAACCAAACCCCGGTCTCTCTGGACCGCAGGCCGACATTCTAACCGCTGAGCCAAACTGGCCAAGGCTTGTTTTGATTTTTAGATGAACCTAAGTTCCATATTCAAGAGCTGGTGAATGTTTGGTAGACACAAGCATTACTTCTGGAGCGCACAAAATGCCACAAGTTAGGAAACACAGAAAGGGTACTCAGGAAAATCAGACAGCGTGTCCAGTGCCAGGGTCCGCAAAGGCAGGGTCCTGTGTCATTCCGTCAGTGCAGAGGGGATTCACGGTATATCAATCACTTCTAATTTTTTAAAGTTTGTGTAAGCTTACTTTCTTCTTAGAGTTTGCTTTTATTTCTTATTTTTTTTTAAATTTTTGATTAGAATAAACAGCAGTTGTATCCTCAAAACCTATTTCATAAGCATTTATTCCAACGATTCTTAAATTATATGGCAAATTTGTATTATAGTGAATAAATAATGACCAAGTGGTTCTATAGTGTCATATATATATATGGCTTTGAGTCTATTCTTTAAAAAAAAATAACAAAACTTGAACTCTGTATGCCCGAGGAGTTAAATGTGACTAACCTTATTACCTGCCAGTTGTATAGTCCACTCTTTTCATAACACATGTAATTCCTTAGGGGCTCTGGCATGTGAATTTTTAATATCTATAAGTTAGGATGAAAAGACTCAAGATCATAGATGTGAGGGTGGAGTTCTGCCATTCCCCTTGGTACGGTATCTATGGCACTTCTGTCTTAGGTTTCAGTGACTCCTTGCTAGTTCCACCCCATTTGGATTAAAGTCAACCTATTATCTTTCATGGACAACACTAACACCTAGTCACCAGAGAAATCACTGTCAACATCACTAAAGTTCTCTTCAGGAGAGATAAACAAAAGAGTCACTCTCTTTAAGGGACTCCAGGGCTAGCAGGAGTCTTCAGACACCCACGCAAGCAGGAGGCAGAGCTGTAGTCAATCCAAATCACAGCTACCTCAAGTCCCTTGTTTTATCAGGAGCAGGTGCTTATACATATGAATATAAATGTCCCAGATGCATTTTCCTTTCTTTCATTTGGGAAGAGCTAAGGAGTGGTCTCGTTTTCCTGGCCTGTCCTCACTGGCTCCTCACCACTATTCTCTCTGGGCTGGAAGGACTGTGGCTCTCTTGACATACGACTAAGACAGACTTCCTTCTTTGAACTCCTCGGGGCTCTAGAGGATCTCCCTCTGGGAAGATTATATTTCAAGTGAGAAATCAGATGTAGTAGGTGCTAACAATGGGAGAGTATAACTAAGCATGTTAAATCAAAATGTACTGGTGGATATGTAGGAAAATGAGATAATGCAAAGCATCAGAATATCCATTTAAATAAGTATTTGTTTTGGCAATTTATCACACCATGAGAGTGAATTTTACCTTGTGCAACAGCCCAAAGTTTACAGGGCCTTAACCCTGATGATTAAGTTCTAAGATGGTGTTTGAGGTAGAAAATTAGGCAAAACTCTAAAATAATAAGCCTTGTTTCTGGTGAGGCTTATTTTTATAATAGATTCCAAAAATGCTTTGAGCATTAAAATTATTATAAGTATTAAGTAAATAAAATCAAGGTATGTATAAGTAACAAAGTGATTCTTTGCAGACTTACATCAGCCAACATTCTCATCTGCAAACAACAGAAGCTGGCCTTGGCTCATAGCAGTAAATGCTTATTTCAAAAGATATCTAGAATAGGACTTCATCAAAATTTAAAACTTTGTTCATCAAACTCAGTTTAAGGAACGAAAAAGCAAGCCAGACTGGGAGAATATGTTTGCAAAACACATACATGACAAGGACTCATATCGACAATATAGAAATGGCTCTGGCCGGTTTGGCTCAGCAGTTAGAGCACTGGCTAGAGGATCAAAGGGCAAGTCAAGGGCATGTACCTGGGTTGCTGGTTCATCCTCAATCCTGGTCAAGTCAGGGTAGTGTGGGAGGCAACTGATCAATGTGTCTCTCTCATATTGATGTTTCTCTCTGCACACCCCCCCTTCTCAATTGAAAATCAAATTATTCTTATTTTCTCATCAAAAATGGAGTCACTAAATAAAAACAGCAAGTGGGATTAGAAAATTCACCTGCATGGAAAGGAAGTTTGAATTGACCACACAAGTTTCAATCAGGTGTTCATTGCGCCCTCCCAGTTCATCACTGCTGTTCCGGAGCCAGTAGGAGTCCTGGCTCCCAGGCTTGGGCTGCCCCCAAGAACCACCCAAATGGACATCTGGGAAATCTGAAGTCTAATGTAAAAATTTCCTTGGTTGATTATGTTAAAAAAAACTAATACACACATTTAATCTTCTTCGTGTCTTAATGGGCATGCTAAGCCTCAGAGAGCTGTTTTCAACACATTTCAAAGAGAAGCACTCATGTCATAGATGGGCTAAGTAAACAACTTTTTATTTCTTACAGCAAGCGAATAGCATGTCTTTAATTTCAGTGATTTATATAAAACTGGAACACACCAAATCTGGGTATTTTATTTACATTTCCTTTTTCCTTCCCAAAATAGAGGCATATAGTTTATTATACCACACATACAAAAAGTGGGTTTTAACATTTCAATATTTTTTCTGTAAACATTAGATACATAACCACATGTCATTCTTCTGAATTTGTTCTTCTGGGAAACCATGTGTCTCAAGATTTGTCTCCTTTTGTATTAATTAGAATTCCATTTTTTAAAAACGTCCAGCTTCTGGGACTGTTGCAGTCTGATGTACTATATTTCTCCCTTTCTTCCTACCTCTGCATGTGAAGACAACCACCACGACCCAAATTCAAATGAATGAGATTCATTCCTTATTTCAAAATACCTTCCTGTAAATGTAAAAAAACCTATAAAATTGTGAAATAATATATGAGCTAATATTTAGATAATTCAAAACTCAGAAGTCATAAAGACTGCCTAAATACTAAAAATAATATTTAAAACTTCTACACAGAAAAACACTCCATAAACAACCTCAAAAGGTAAGCAAAACTGGAATCAAGAAACGATCACATGGCCCTGGCCGGTTTGGCTCAGTGGTTAGAGCCTCAGCCCGTGGACCAAAGAGGCCTGGGTTTCTTTCCCGCTAAGGGCACATACCTCAGTTGCAATTTGTCCCCGGCCCTGGTTGGTCGTGCGGGTGGCAGCCACTCGATGTGTCTCTCTCACATGGATGTTTCTCTCTCTTCCTCCCTCTCTCCCTCCCTCTTTATCTGAAGATAAATGCAAAAATGTCCTCTGGTGAGAAGAAAAGGAAAAAAGAAAAAGAAACGATCACATGACCAAGGACTAATATTCTAAGTACACTGAGATGTTAACAAAAAACAATGTATAGCCAAGTAAAAAATACTGTAAATGATACAAATAGGCAGTTTATTTAAAAAAGAAAAAAATCAATTAATGTGACTTTTTTTTTTTGTCCTCACTGGAGGACACTGTCATTTTTTGTTCAGATAGAGTGGGAGGGAGAGAGAGGAAGAGAAAGAGAAACATCGACATAAAAGGGACACATCGAGTGTCTGCTACCCGCACGACCAACCAGGGCCGGGGACAAAATGCAACTGAGGTACGCACCCCCAGCGGGAACTGAACCCAGGTCCCTCCGGACCACAGGCCAACGCTCCAACTGCTAAAACAAACCAGCCAGGGCAACAAGATTTTTTTAAATATTTTTTTTCTTTATTGATTTTAGAGAGGAAGGAAGAGGGGGAGAGAGAGATA